CATAATCTAGTAACCATTGAAAGCATTAACGAACCTAAGAAGAGGAGAACTGTTCATATTGAACAATTGAAGCTCCCAATGTTAGAACCGGTACAGAAACCAATTGATTCGTAGTACCCTTATCGCGTATTATAAAGAAATATGTTTTTTTATTATTATTACTGTTGATGATGTCATTTTTTTTTCTCTCATTATTTTTGTTGTTCTTGTAAATAAAGATATGGCAGCATAATAGAGGTGATTGTAATTTTTATAGGATTAAGAGTTCTGTCCATTGTTAATAAGACGTTGTGTGTTTACTTTCTGTGGTTTATTTCTTTTTATTTCTTTCTCGTTCCAGCGGAGTGGAAGTGAGGTTTGGTGTACTTTAAGTTTATACTGGTACGAATAAATTGTAAAGGGTTAAGGCTGATATCGGTGGCTCCGATCTAGGAATTTATAAGTTTCCGAAAATCCTATTCGTAAACTGGTGGGGGGGAGATAAAGACCGGAGACTGGCGATATCAGCCTTAATACCATCTTGTAATGTAAATAAACATAGCAATTGTATATAAGGCAGATTATTGAACGAATAAAGTAGTGTTTATTCAGAAGCCGTGAGTATTGTTTCTCGTTCCTCTTTCCTTCTTTTTTTTTATTTTTAAAGCCCGGAGACGCTTAACTTATATATATATATATATATATATATATATAATTATATATAATATTGTTAACGCCGCATACGCTCATATCTTTGTTTTTTTTTCATTATTATTTTTTCTCACCATTCACCCCTTTTTATATGTCAATAATAAAATGGTTATTTCTTTTTTTTGGTAAAAAAAAATACAATTCCCAGAATTGTACATTGTTTGTACATTTAGCTTTATTTGCGATGTATTATCGTACTTGTATTTACACACCAGCCCGGCAGTAATACCCCGTCTTGGGGATTAAGACACAAATATTGCGATAAAACTACTGGGATGCAGTCTAAAGTTAGTCTGGAGCGATATGCCGTTTGTGTTGTACGTCTATCCCCACCATTTTCAACAGCTCCAGGCTCGTCTTATCTTCACTTCACTTGCGCCATTTTGAAGACCCCAGCTGTGTCATCGATATGCATATCGATTCCCCCACCATCGACTGCTGTTGTCATTAGCTGCATAAGATAACCTGTTTGTAAGCAGAACCTCCAACTTGGTTCGTTTTTTTTTTTCATTCTCACCATCACCAAGACATTTAAACATTAATTTAATTTTGATTCTCTCAATATATTAGTTTTATTCTTTTGAACAGTTATGGTTTTCTCTTGTTTTATTAATAGTTTTAGAAGTTGATCTTATTTCTATTTTTTTTCTTAATGTTTAATTTGTTTTTATTTTCTCTGAATATTGTATGCTATGTTTCATTTTATTTCAGTGCATTTTAATACTCTCCTTTCATTTTGTTTTGTTTTCAACAATTGTATATATCTTTTTTCCACCATAATAAATATTGTAAACATTCAAAAGGGGTATTTATTTATTTTCCTTTTATTTATTTATTTATTTATTTGATCTAGTTTTTAATATTTTCTTGTCCATGCATTTTTTTCTTCTTTTACAGGTCTCATATTTACTCTTTTTATTATTCCTTCTTTCCCAACATTTAATTTTGCTCGAATTTTCTTACCTTTAATGAAACTCGCCGGGTAAGGATTTATGTTTTAATTTTGAAATCCCCCCGGCCCCAACAAATATATATATATATATATATATATATATATATATATATATATATATATATATATATATATATATATATATATATATACATATACATATACATACACATATACATTGTGTATCTTAAACTAAGTTATAAAGTGTTTTTTTAATTGTTACAAATTTCTTCAGAATGTTTTATCAGGAAAAATTTTACTCTGGATTAATTTGTTATATTTTTATTTTCAAATGAATATATACTATTCTTTTGTCAAATACAAAACATATTTTGTTGAAAAAATTGTGTATATATCTTCATAGTACCTGACATAACTATATACTCATTAAGAATATTAAATGCAAAAAGGTGTAAAGTATTTATTACTGGTACAAATTTAATAATAAAGGAATAAAATATATAAAGGTATTAAAAATATCAAACCCGATCAGTAATCAATTATAGTTGGTTAGTCGGATAAAAATATCCGATACAATTATTGAGGTACCCCAGCATCAGCACGAATACCGCTAGAGTATCTGATAAAAGTATCTAAACTTCGCTGTTTTAAGTTCAGATATCAGATAAAAACATCCGATACAATTATCAGGCATCAACCCCTAGCGCAAGTATGAATACTTCTTAGGTATCTGATAAAAGTATCTAACCTTCAGTGTGTATTAAGTACAAACGGCATGGGTACTTTTATCTGTCCCCCACCCTTCTGGTTGATACTGGTTCTGCTAAACTGAGGTCATTCTTGAGCAACTTTCGCATTTTATTTATTGAAATATTTCCCATTTTTTTGCATTCAATCATTTCCCTCGGTTTTCAAATAGCTATAATGTTCGTCTACCTCATTTTCAATTTTGTCGATCGATTGACCTATATAAAATCGTTATTTTAACATTATGGTTGTGGAAGTCATGCCAAACGGCCCAATATTTCTGTAGGCCACATTTTTTTAATATTGTGTGATCACACTATCTTACGAATCAACTGAAAAGCAAATGGGTATTCATGAGTTTTTAATACTTAATTAAATAGACAAATTTTGCTGATCTGCAGATTGAAAACAGCCCAATTACGAGAATTTTAACAAATAAATATTCGTAGGTTATAATGAGATGAAGCTATTTATGAAGTTTCAGGCTGATGTTAATAATTTGATAAACATGGGTCTGTTTGGACAACTTTTCAAATTAAGGCCAGGCAAATAACTCTCATGAGTTTTTAATTGCCAACATTCAAAATTACGGGCAACATTCTACTTTTATGCAGTGGGTTATATTTTAATGAATTGGTAGATTATACTGATTGTGCGAAAATAGCTTACCATCTTTATGCCAGCTTACATATCTTCATTACCTGATGGCACTCGTTGCATCTGGAGCATCTATCTGTGCTATCCGACTATCCGACTATTTGTGCTGATCTGGGATGGATACGGTAGCTCTTGCGGATTAAGTGTTATCTTTTAGATCTTCTGATCTGCCCCCACCACTTGCCGTAACGCTGGAAATTCAAACCATTTTCGCACAAACAGGGTCTGTACCACGACTATTTCTCCGAACTTGAATTATGTTTCAGCTCAAACCTATAGAAAAAAAATTGGGCCATAGTAAGATCTGATTTATGGAGTCAAACGCTCGACGAAATTCAACAAAAAGATTAGACTTCTTTTTTAAAAATTGATTTTGGATATGAACACCAAAACATTATTTAAGAAACTTCTGTTTCTGAATCCTAATTAGCATTTCGGTATAATTCCGCTTTCATCACTCCATAATGTGATTCGTTCCAGCAGGATTTGGGTAAAAATTTTCAAAGCACAGTTTGCCATACAGGGATTCCCAGAAGGGGGTTTTATGAGGGGGCACATTTTGAAAGGGTTTTCAATTTTTGAGAGGGGCACTTTTCATGAATTTTCAAAATGAAAAGTTTCAAATCAAAAGACAAGTGAAAGCATGGACCAGACCGCAAGATGTGTAATTATATATAATATACGAATATTTAAATTCTACTTTCGTTTCTACTCTTTTTAAGAAGCCGAGAACAATAAAATATCTTGGGAGGGGTGGAGGAATTTTATGCGCCATCGATCTTGGGGTAATGGGCACTCTTGTTTCCATAGATATATTATGGTGATCAGGTGGGTTTTCTCGGTATCCTTACTTAAATATGATAACAATCAAAATTTCAGCCCATGATTTTGGCACCTTCTCTTTGTTCAGAATTTTATTGAATAAATTCTGTTTATACATGAACCAATTTGAGGGAATATTCTTGTATATTTCATATTGGACACCATCAAGCATTGGGCTTTTGCCATTTTTGACTTTGTTCAGAGCCCAACTTATTTTCTCAGAAGTTATATCTCCTTCTAAAAATGGGTATCGGCTGTCTATAAAAAAATCATTGGATGCCAACTCAGGTAGATACATCATTCTAAAAAACTTTTCTTGCTCCTCTATGGAAAATGTTGCCTTAATATGTTATTGTATTAATTTTTAAAAAACGTTACTGTACAAATAAAAAATAAAAACTTAAGCAGAGATGGGCAAATGCTAATCTGAGTACCGAGTACCAAGTATTTTACTCAAATTGAATCACGATTGAGAATTCAATCCTCAATAACTACTTCAGTTAATCGTTTGACACTAATTGAAGTAGTAATTTAATACTTCGATACTCAAAAAAGGTCAGTAAGTATTTGAGTAAAATACTTGATACTCAGTACTCAGAGTAGCATTTGCCCATCTTTGATCATGGGTATCCAGAGGAGATTTCATGGCGCATGTTGCGCCGTCCAAATTTTTGAGGGAAGGACATTTGGACGGGGTTGTGAAATTTCGGAATGAAAAGTTTCTAACCAGAGAACAAGGAGGAAAACATGGAACAGTCACAGCAAGTGTAATATATGACCTACGAATTTTTAAATTCTACTTTCGTTTGCACTGTTGTAAGAAGAGGGGTACATTCAAATATCTTGGGAGGGGGAGAAAGTTCACGTACCTTCGCCCTTAGAGGGTTGTATACCACTGGGTCAAGTTGTGTAAGAGTGTTAGTTGGGTCAAGATTAAAATTGAAAAGTAGAGGAGTGGAGCCGGCTTTTAACAACTGGTAAAGGTATAGCTGGGATCAACTTCCTAGTATTACTTGATGATATTGGGCATTAGTGTAAAAGTATCATATGTTATTTAATTTGATTCATCATTAATTTACAATATTAATATTACTTAGACATTACGGTGAAATCAATGATTTTTGAATCAAGTTGATAAAAGCTGATTGGTGAAAGTTAGTTCAAAGATAAACTTGGGGCACTACGCAAGCGCGTACTGTGAGTGTTGGGTGTACTTGATGTCTGTGCTTATTATTGGAGGTTCAAGCCAATTGAGGTTTTCGATTGTTGTTTTAGTGCTGGAATATTAGTTTTAGCGGATTAGACATCATTTATTTTATTTTAAAATTTAGTATCATCAAATTTGTTAGGTTAAGGACTGAAGTGTATATATTGTAGATACTTAATACCAACTGCTTTTTCTTTGTCACGGTTCGGGAAGTAAATTAATAATGTTTGGATCCAAGTCATCTATCCTATTCTTCGTGCATCCTGATTTTATTCATAAAGGACGATCAAACAAATAAAAATGAGGCGACGCACAGGATTAAGGATAACCAACAAATCTGGGGTATGTAATATTTTAATTGTTTAAGAGTGAAATTTTAAGTTCTGTGTTATAAATGTATAAGAAGTATGTGGAACTATAATTATAATGAAATATTTGTTGTTTGAACCCTAAAAAAATTAAATTTGTCATAATTTCTTCGGTTTATTTAGTTATATTAGGTAATTTTATCAAGAAAACCTTATGAATTTATGAGATGATCTGGATAAATTAATGTAATTCAAATGATTACTGTTTTCATATAATGCATGTAGTTGTTAATGATGAATATGTACTAATCAGGATATAAGTCATTGGAACTTATATAGCGATGTATTTTTAGTTATTGTTTTTATTAATGAAGATTTGCTTTTGTTATGGATTCTGTCTTCATTTGCGGGTTTTTTTGCATCAAATAACACTTGTTGCCAAATGAAATTCCATGACGAACAAGATAAGACTCAATGATTACGGTGGTTTAACAGTTCATTAATTATTAACTAATATATCAGATTCTACAATTTCTCTATGTAGTTCACAACTTCAGTGCACTGGAGACGTTGTTCTTTGAAGAATGAAAGTTGATGTTTAGCTTATAGTTTTGGTTAAATGATTCACTTTATATGATTGGTGTGCTAATCAATTTTATAAATAATTATTTAGCAGAATCAAGTTTGGCTGGTAATGTATAGTTATAGAGTAGTGACATTGTCTTTTATCTGCTTGTTAGTAAATATAAATAGTTAACAGGCAGTGGGACAGTCACAGCTAAATATTAATTAAATTTTCGATATCCATAGTATGAGTGCAGGAATTAGAACTTATGTTCGTTTATAACAGCTTCTCATGCCCTGCTCTCTGATGTTTTTGTATTTTATTCAGTTGTTAACTACATTTTTATTATTAAAACAAATATAACCAAATGCTTGTTTATTATGAATAACTTCTGATATTAGTTGAATATTATAGTATGATTTTCAGTATAAATATAATACTGTGCACTTTTTTGCTTTTTTTTTTTTTTAAATAATGAATATGTGTGTTTGTTTTCTGTATGTGCTTGTCTTGAAATTAAGTTGTGTTAATTTTTCTAATATATCTCTATATAGTTTATATATGTATGTCCTTATATGTAATATTCTTAAACAAATATTAGCAATTTCCTGAAGAGATTTGTTGCATTCTGTTCATTTACTGGATCTGAATTTCCAGATGTGTTTTGCTAGCCTACATCATTTTAATATAAGGCATTTCATGTAAAGTCCATACCTATTGTAGACTATGTAATAAAAGATGTTCCCAAAGTAAAACATGAATGATTAGAATGTGATCAGTTTTTAACATAAAAAATGGGTGTCATTAACTTAGCACAATCCACTGAATGGTGAAAGTCTTGCCAAAAATGAGTTCCTACTTGTTAAAAAAAAGCTTTATTAATACTAGCAAATTGTCTGAGGTAGAAGTTAGTATATGATAGAAGCTATTGCAGTTGCCGAATCAAAAGGATTTATTAAATGTAACTGCAAGAAACCTACTTATAAATCATCAGATATCATAAATAAAATCTGAAATGCAATTCTATGTAGTGCTATAATGGCATTAATTAATCAAATCAGATGACTTTTCCATTAATAAAAAATCTGATGAGGTACGCACATCACACAACTTACACTTACCACCCTCTTCTTAGCAGAAATAAGTATTTCAGACAAAGAGAAAGTGAAAGTAAAAATTATAAACTCTATTTTGATTTATATTTCATTGTGGATATTTTTATTTGTTTAAGTACCCTGATATATACAAATTTTAATATTTATATCACTGTAATCTATACAATTAAATATTCAATAATACCAACGAAAACATTTAGGAAAACCGCATATGCATTTGTACATAATATTATTGGAATCTGTATTGTATTAAGCTCATGTTACTATAGAGCCTGTTCTAATCTTCGGGTGCGCTCGTATCCCTTTGTTCCTTCATTACAACTATATGAGATCTTACGATCTCTTATTTCTCCTTGAGTTAATTATAAAATTCTTTCATATTTTATATTTAACTATTTTTATATTATAGATCAATTTGAAATGGTTAATTGTTTCAAATAAAAAGAATTAAGGTACTTTAGAGGAAGGTAATATTGAAAATTAGCCATTTAAGCTGTTAGAAAACATCAATGAGAATATAACCTACATAATATTAAAACTGCTTAATTTTTTACTGATATAATGAATTTATTCAAAATCGTTGGAGCCGTTTTTGAGAAAATCGATAAAATGTGTTTTATCGATGATATAAAGTGACACTTCTGGTAAGCCGATTATGACAAAAAAGTTGCTGTAACATCTCGGGTGTATACAAACCTTAAATATGAAATTTCACTTTCAAACAAGTTTTCATTTTTGAGCTAGACCTGTCACATACACACGCACACACATAGACAATTTTACGGGACATGGTTATTTGGACTCAGGAGACCTCAAAACATGTATTTCCATTGAAAACTCAGATTCAAAAATTTTCACGATTGCAATACTGTCCCTTACTATAGATTTCATTCATAGATAAGTGAAACTAAAAAATCTGGTGTGCGTAACACACAACTTTCACTTACCGTTCTACTTTGAATAGAAATTATTTTCTAGCAATGTTGGGCTATTATGTTAGTGTGGAAAACGAGTAGGATTGTTACCAGTCCTAAAAGATTTGTTTTAATTCTATGGCTGCAGTTAGAATAAAGATAATCTTGTTCTGGTAGTCCTGTATAAATATGCGGTACGAAGGAAATCTTTTAGGTCCAGTTTCGTGGCTAGGTCCTCCTTAAAGACATTTCTGTTGGTACTAGAATGTTGTTAGCTAGCTTATCTATATATTAGCTTATATATCATGGTAATAAACAATATATAAAAAAAGTATGTTTGGGCCCCAGGTAGCTCAAACATACTAGAGTGATAAAAAAATACATCATAATTATTTTTGGGCCATACAGAAGGGAGCCCCAAACATATTTCAGTAGGAACAGATATTTATCAGGTTGTACAATTTCTGATTAGTAAGCCTTCGCCACTCGTTTCAGGCTTGGATCCCTCCATAGATGCTGTGTAAGATAGCTCCTTTCAAATATCTGGATAATATTCACATAGATATTAGTAATTTTTTATTACTAACTAATTATTAAATTTGCATGTAGCCAACACATGATCCTCCTTTATTTAACGGAATTTCCACACCTTATTTTGAGGGCAGGTATAAACCTATTACTTTGATATATTTTGTGGAAAATCCTATCCTTTTAACTTCCTGAAATTTAATTCTGTTCTGGTGATTGTATTATTTTATATACAATTTTTCGTAAATGTTTTTCAGTAAAAAATTATCGGAGACGCCTATTTTGATATTATAGTCAATTTTAAGGTTTTGCAATTGCGTATCAATAGTATTTAATGAAAAGTGGCTCGGAAGACATAATAATGAACCCATATTTCGAAGAAATTCATAAAGTTTCAAAAGCTCAAAACACAGTAGAGTGATCTTAATATTTATAATAATTCATAATTAATGGCTTCGGCAACAATAATGAATCCTTATGTGGAAGAAAACAGATTTTTTTTTTCCCATAAAAAGCTCTTATAACTCAATTATGGTACCTTCATTTTGAAAAAATGTCCAAGAAAATGTTTTACTTTTTTGGACACACAATAAATTTTCAGTCTAAAATGTGTTTTAGAAGTTTTGTTGACAGTTCAGGTGTCTCAGATAAATTTATAATATTCAGATAGATGAAACATATTTCTAAAATTCACAATAAAACAGTTATAATGTTTTAAGATCTGGGTGAATGAGAATTTACCTGAGGAATGGAAAGAATCTATTCTTATTCCGATTCACAAAAAGGGCCCGAGAACGGATTGTAATAACTATCGAGGAATTTCACTCCTTCCGGTATGTTATAAAATATTCACTTTAATCTTAACCAGTCGAATCACGGAATACGCCGAGGAAATTATCGGAGACTACCAATGCGGATTTAGACGGAATCGTTCAACTATTGATCAAATATTTTCTTTACGGCAAATATTAGAGAAAAAATTGGAGTACAACGGTATTGTTCACCAGCTGTATATAGATTTTAAAAAGGCTTACGATTCTATTGACCGCCAGAAACTGTATAATATTCTAATCGAGCAGGGGATTCCAAAAAAACTAGTAAATCTAGTCAGGATGTGCTTGACGGAGACACTCAATAAAGTTAGAATCGGTAATAATCTGTCGGAAAAATTTGAGGTTCGCTCGGGTTTAAAACAGGGGGATTCCCTTTCGCCTGTACTGTTCAATTTGGCATTAGAACATGCCATTAGGGAGGTAATGCGTACCGAGAAAGGGTTGGATCTGGGTGGGACAACATCCGTGCTGGGCTATGCTGATGATCTGGTACTGTTAAGCGAAGACGTTGAAACTATAAAACTAAATACGACAACGTTAATGAAAGCCGGTAAAAAACTAGGACTCGAAATAAACGTGGATAAAACAAAATATATGGTTAGCTGCAAAAATGGCGATACTACTGGTGATATCGATATAGATGGTAATATGTTTGAACAGGTAGATAAATTTAGGTATCTAGGTTCTACGATAACTAGAAAAAACGAAATTGAAGAAGAGATTAAGGTTAGACTGAAGGCGGGAAATGCTTGTTATTTTTCTGTGACAAAACTACTCAGTTCGCGCCTCTTGTCCCGGAACTTAAAAATTAGAATCTATAAAACAATTATCTTGCCTACAGTTCTTTATGGATGCGAAACTTGGCCGCTTACACTAAGGGATGAGCAGCGTCTTAAGGTTTTTGAAAATAAAGTATTGCGTAGAATATTCGGACCGAAGAAGGATGAGTTAACCGGAGAGTTCAGACGGTTACACAACGCCGAATTGCGTGAACTGTATCCGGGTAATATAATTGAGGTAATTTCGTCGCGGCGAATCAAATGGGCTTGTAAAGTTGTTGGGCTTAGTAACGAGAGAAT